TTAAATTTCGATTTTCGCAAAATAAAGTTAAGAAAATGACTAGAAATATTAACCGACATGGTCGGCTTCCAAAAAATTACAATCGGCACAAATGAATACATACCAGGGTTGCCGCCCGAAACCCGATACCCGAAACCCGGGCTTTTTTTGTACCCGAAACCCGATACCCGAAATGAAAATTTTCAAACCCGAAACCCGAAACCCGTACCCGATATTTTTTTCAACCCGAAACCCGTGACCCGAAATTGGTTAAAACCCGAAATTTCTACCCGAAAACTTAGACTTACCCGATTTTTTAAAAATAGATTTATTAAATTATACAGTCGTCGACATAAAGATAGGGACAAGAGTAATTTAAATGTAAATTAACTATTTTTCAGTCAAAAAATACGTTCTATATATCAATCGAAAGCTCTATTCGTATCTCAGTTGACATGTTTTTGCATTTTTCATGAAAATGAAAATTGGCCGAGATAATCCGGATCTACCGGATATACCAAATCCCATAGCCTCGGAAAAAATTTTCGGAAAAAATTTAACAAACCCAGTTGATAAAGCATATTTTTGTGAGTATTTACCACAAAACCGCTTAGAAATATCTTTTTCCGGTCCAGAGATATGATTTTTTGAAAATGGCATTTTTCGTCTATTTTTGCAAAAAATTGAATTTTTAAGCGAAAAATGCCATTTTCAAAAAATCATATCTCCGTCCCGGAAAAAGATATTTCTAAGCTGTTTTTTGGTAACTACTCACAAAAATATGCTTTATCAAATGGGTTTGTTAGATTTTTTCCGAAAATTTTTTCCGAGGCTATGGGATTTGGTATATCCGGTAGATCCGGATTATCTCGGCCAATTTTCATTTTCATGAAAAATGCAGAAACATGTCAACTGAGATACGAATAGAGCTTTCGATTGATATATAGAACGTATTTTTTGACTGAAAAATAGTTAATTTACATTTAAATTACTCTTGTCCCTATCTTTATGTCGACTACTGTATGTAGAAAGAGAAAGAAGAAAAAGGGGAAGAAATATTTATAATTTCTTTCATTTTTCCATTATGTTTATCGGTGGTTTAATGGGTAAGGCGACTGGCTCGATATTTTCGTGATTGTGGGTTCGAGTCCATGGCTGGCAATGTTACAAAAAAAACTTTTTCTTTTTAAAAATAAATGTTTTTAAACTTTGATTTTCATTTTAGTATTTTAGATTTATTTTTTTAATATTTTAAGCTTGAAAAAGCATTAAAAATTTTAATTTAGTATGAAATTTTTCAAAATTTTATGTGCCTGCGGCGCATAAAATTAAGAATTTTGGCTTCATGACCAACAAAACTTCAATAAAATTTTTTGCCTGCGTTTCTTACAATTGAATTTTTTCTCCTGAGGCCCTACAAAATTCTAAAAATTTTCGCCTGGGCGCTGAAAAGTGAGAAAATTGGAGGCTTTAATGGAAATAAAGTAGAGGCGTAAGGATCACCAATTAGTACATATAGTGGGATTTTATTAAGGTGGGATTTTACCAAGATATCCCTCTTAATGCCCAAATCCCACAATGTCTCTTTAATCTCTTCAAATTTGCCTCTCTCTATATCACCATATATCCTAGTAAGCAACACAGCTTGTCGCCTTACAATTTAGTTCATCAATACCCGAACACTCGAATTTTTCGCCAAACCCGAAACCCGTACCCGAAATTTTTGCCAACCCGAAACCCGATACCCGAAATGAAAATTTTATAACCCGAAACCCGTACCCGATATTTTTGCCAACCCGAAACCCGTGACCCGATATGAAAACGCTCAAACCCGAAACCCGAAACCCGTACCCGAAGATTTTTTGTACCCGCGGCAACCCTGATACATACACATATCAACGAATCTTTTAGTATTTATAAATCGCGTTTATCGAAAATTAAAATCAATTTGAATAAAACTTATTTTTAAAATATTTCTTAAAATTATCTTTATTCTAATTTCAAATTACTTTACAAATAATTTATCGTATGTTTAAAAAAATTTATATCTCATCTTCTTTAAATTCAGAAATTCTGATTTTACTTTATTTACCAAAAATTTCAATTTTGTTATCTGGACCAGTAATTTGAATTTTATTGTTGCCAGGAACATCTTCAACGTGCATCTGAAATATACAAAATAAAAACTGGCGACTCTTCTTTACATCGATACCCATCTTATTCTCCTATATTTTTTTAATCCTCCCAAATCACTCGGTTTATACTGTTAATCCCCTCAATAGCCTCTTAATCACCTTTAATCCTTCATAAATTTATACATTCGTTACTAGAATGTTTGGATAATAGACTTATTCTGTGCTTCAGTCTCTAGAATTGACTCGACAATAGAACAAACAAAAATCTCGAAATTCCGAAATTCCAAAAAAAAGGAATTCATGATGCTTTTTTGGATCGGGTCCCTAGTTCCCGAAATCGGGAATTTTGTTTTTTTTTCGGCAGGATCCCTAATACTATCGCTAAGGTTCCGAAAGTGCATATATTTGTATTAATGACCACTCCAAAGTGATCGGACCAAGTAAACACCAGATTTTAGACAATAGGTACCGAACTGTTGTGTATGGGCGTCAGCCCTTAAAGTGTTTACTATAAAAGCCAGAGAAAACGTCAGTCTATTCGGACCATACTAGCGGGGCTAGTCACTGGTCTCCTTCGTCTGTCCCATTCCCTTCGCCTACACATTGTTCATTTCCTATTGTGATAAAGTGTTATTATTGTGTTTGTTGCATTAGTTTAATCTCGGACACCTCGGGTCGTAACAATGGCGCGGTCGACAAAAAGTGAAGTGTGGCGAAGTGTAGTGAATTGCTTTGGCAATTAGTGAAAGTGATTGTTTTGATTGTGAGTGGACAGACGTCGTAGTTAGTGATCGGCATGAGTCGGAGTGAAATGAGTGAATTGTTTGTTAGTGCGCATGGACCTTTGGAGTTAGTAGTGGCCAATAAAGGACTCAGGCGAGTGCCAATGGTCGGATTTTAAGGCTGAAATGCCTAGTGTAAGGCTGAAATGCCTAGTGGTCCTGAAAGTGCGCAGATTTTGCCGATCAAGTGTTGAAGTGTCTGGCATTCATGAGAATGTAAGTCCAGAAAATTTGAAAGAGTGAAAAGTGGAAAAAGTGAAAATTTGGCAGCCTACGGGTGGGTAAGACCAAATAATGAAGTTTGAATTGTTAGTGAATAAAGTTAAATTTGGCAGCCAAAAGGGTGGGTAAGACCAAATAATGAAGTGAGTAAAATAAATTTGGCAGCCTAAAGGGTGGGTAAGACCAAATAGTGAGTGAATTGAATTGTAGTGAGTCAAGGCGCTGAGAAGTGAATATTATTAGTGATTGAAGTATTCCAGCGCAAGTGAGTGAAGCAACCCAGACTACACCTAGTGTAAGTTCAGTGAAGTGTTGCGGTACCTGAGTCTTTGACAGAGGCAGGATGTAACAGGCATCCTTTGAGTGGTTAGTTAGTAGTAGTAGTAGTCAAGTGATAGTATTAAACCACGAGCCATCCTAAAAGTACACGGGAAAACGGCACCGAACTGCACACTAACTATATGTTAGTGTTGTGGAGTTTGACTTCACTTAAGTTTAGTAGTGATGCAATTCAGTGAAGTTTAGTTATTGGGCACAGTGTTAAAAAAGTGAATGAAGTGCCGCAATAGAAAGTGAAATAAAAAGTGAAGAAAATAAAATAGTGAAGAAAAGTGAAAAATAAAAGTGAAATGCTTATGGACAAGCAGTGTGATGATCAACAGTGTCATTGCCTTGATGGGAGCTGCTGTATGCACTGTAGATGTCCGCTGCCAGAAGAAAAATAAAATGTGGAATAGATGACAAAATTTTGTGATTCTTTGTAATTGTTGTAATTTTAATTTGTTTTTCTTTTTTGCCCTTTTGTCATCCCACATTTTTTGTATTTTGTTGTGAGTTGAGTGTTAGTGAGAGACTAGACGCTCTGGCTTAGTGTTAATTGTATTGATAGCATGGAAGCTATAGTGAATGTTAAAAGTTGTAAAGCTTCGGCCTTAAGTGAAAGCCGAACCTTTTTTTCAAGGGGGGAGGTGTTGTGTATGGGCGTCAGCCCTTAAAGTGTTTACTATAAAAGCCAGAGAAAACGTCAGTCTATTCGGACCATACTAGCGGGGCTAGTCACTGGTCTCCTTCGTCTGTCCCATTCCCTTCGCCTACACATTGTTCATTTCCTATTGTGATAAAGTGTTATTATTGTGTTTGTTGCATTAGTTTAATCTCGGACACCTCGGGTCGTAACACGAACGATATCTATCGGTGTATCTATCGTAATTTTTATGGAAACTGTGCGGTTCACAATTCTAATCTCTACAAAAACACCATTTTTGGGCTTTAGACACCAAGGCATATCAGCATAAAAGCAAGCAATTTCATTACTTAACGTGAATTTTATAGCCCCATTATTGTTCAAGTGATTTCAGGATGAACTCGGCCTTACAATATGAACATTATCTATAATATTCTATAATTTAATCTTACTATCTCACAATTATTTTATTAGTTCCACCATTTATATCTGTAATATATCCTGTCGGTTTTAATTTTTTAAATTCTTCATGAAATGTATAATATGAAATCTTTTTTTGATCAACGTAAATATAGGCCCCATTTACTTCAATTTCAACTGATTTTGCTTTTATAATTTCAGCTCGATCAAAAGTGTAATGCTTAATATAATCACCAAACATCAATAATTTATTTATATTTCCATTTATTTTTAAATTGTCGGCTTGTTTAACTTCATCATTGATTTGGACAAGAATTTTGTCAGAAAAAACAAATATTTTAAAATCGTTTTTAGCCGGATTTGATGTTGAAATTCCTTCCTTTCTCCAAAATTTAGATAAGAGCCAAGATCCAAAAGTAAAAGGCCAAGATCTTCCGTTTGAAAACGTTCCTTCTTAAATTTTATTTTATAATTATAATAAGAGCGAGGTAAAAGTTTAATTGCGGGCGGGCTTCGATCCTGCAACATCCTGACAGTTATAACTAGGTGCTCTACCAACTGAGCTACCGGGACGCTGCTTTCACCTTCTCTTTTAATAGATCTTAAACCCCCGCCTAGTGAGCGTTTTAAATGCTCACCAGCTGGATCTTTCTTTTTCTTTCTCCTCTTTACATTATTAATTTTCTAATCTCGGTATTAAATTTAAAAATAAGTTAAATATTAGATAATCTTAGTAATCTCTAACTTATAATAAATACTATACCATTGCAAATAAAAATATTTGGCTAATTGTTTAAGCTCTTTTGATCCGTTAAGCGTAAGTAGTTGACAAATGATGCTGGAGCCTTTTTATAATAAGATTCGGGACAGGGGTAGACCAGGGGCGTTTTGCCTTTCACTGACCAATTTTGCATCTTGGGTTTTTTGAGATTGGCTCTTGTTGAAATAACAAAATTTATAACCTTGTGATTCGTATGATGAATCTGATGAAGTTTCACTTGACGATCTATATGCTCCTTGATACGATGAAGATGCTCCTCTGTGCGTAGTAGATGCTTCTCCAGGCATTGCAGATGCCCCATAAGAAGCTCTAGTTGATTCTCTAGGCGTTGCAGATGATCCAGATGTCCTTTCAGATCTTCCAGATGTAGATGCCCCTTCAGACGTTGTATACGATGATCCAGAGGATTCTTGCAATTTTTTGTCATAATCTCTCCGTTCTTTCTCATCAGTAAGAATGTCACGAGCATTATTTATTTCTTGTGAAAATCTCAAAGCAATCGGGTCATTTTTAGTTTTGTCCGGATGATATTTTAACATTAATTTTTTGTGTGCTGTTCTAATCTCTTTTGTTGTCGCATTCTTTGGAACTCCTAAAGTTTTGTAATGGTCAGGTGTTGACTCAACCATTACGAGGAAAATTAGCAAGAAAAGGGAAATTAAATTAAAATGCATCTGAAAATAGAAATAAGCTGTAAATAAAAAATCATGATTGGTTATAATTAACTTCTATGATGAACAAAAGGCTTAGAAAATTAGATAAACTCCTGATTTACGATAAAAGTTGTCGTAAATCATGAGATATTCATCCCCTAACTCATACTAATTTACTTGAGGAAAATTTTCAACAAATTTTTGAAGGTAAAAAAATTAGATATTTGGCCTTTATTTCTGTAAATTGTTGTAATATGGACGGAACGCTAAAATATGGAAAAATTTAAGTTTAAATATTTTAGAGGAGTAATAATAAAAAAATGGTATGAAATTTAATTTTTAGCTATAAAATTGAATAAATATTATTTAAAAATAAGAAAAAGCCGACTAATTAATTCAATAAATAAAGACATAAAAGTGCAATTTCGAAATTAAAAGTAAATACTACAATCACATGTTTGTCTGATGAAACGCTATTTCAAAATGGCCGGATATTTGCTGTTTTTATAGTTAAGGACAAATTGTAAAACAATATTTTGCCCAAGGTTTATTTCCAAAATATTAGACTTAGAATGCTGTGACCGGTTCCCGGACAATGCGTCAGTGAATTATGCGTCAGTATTGATATAAAATGATTAAAAGCGATAATATAAAGGGATAAAAATTCACTGATATCCCTCCAAATCGGCTGATCTCCATCATATCCAAACAAATAACTTAATATCTCTGTTAATCCTCCCAACCCCGAGATATCAACCTTAATCCTAACAAATCCCTCTATATCTCTTTTGAACCCCAAAATCTCTTTTTAATTACTACTAATCAGTTTATATCCCATCTTTTGTCTTTTTTATCATTTTTTTATCTCTTTACATTATCACTTTCAATCACTTTATATCAATACTGACCGATTGTCCACTGACGCATTGTCCGGACACGCTGTGACCAACAATAATATTATAAGAGCAAAATCCTCATACATTTTGCTCCAAATCAACGTGTTTATTCTTTACTTTACTTAAGTTTAAACAAATAACACAAATATGCTGTAGCGACCGTGAGAATATTTACTTATATTTTTTGGATGCCATGCTATAGCATTAGGCAAATGAGATCGTTCAAAGCTTAATTTGTGGTTCCCTCAATGGGTAACTAAAAATATGTTTCGACTGTAGTTAAACTTCAATTGTTTATTAACAGATTGTTCAAAAACTCAGTTTTGTTGTAATTCTTGGTACACCTTGTCAAGAGGTGTACAAAGAATTACCCATGAAGCACTAATTTGGCCAGAATACACGTTGAGCAGATTCGTCCACCACGGTGACTAAACTTATGCTTAACCTTTCTTCAAGAATGGAAATGTTTTTCAATGAGGGGGGGCGTAAGTGTAAGGGAGGCATAAGGGAGTAAGCCCTTAAATGAGTTAGTATAAAAGCCAGGAAATTTACATAGTGTACTTTAGTTAAATAGTATTAATTTATATATTATGCGTAAGTTAGTTTCTTGTTGCCATTATTTTGCGTTGGTTTATTTTTGGATGTCGCTTTTAAGTTGACAAAAATTTATAATTGAGGGGTCTAATCTACGGTCTAATGAAAAGAAGTCGACTGACCAAAACAGACTAAAACTTCTTTCAGACAAAACATCGTCCGACCAAAATACCGTTCGACCAAAACTTCGTCCAATGAAAATTTATGAATTGCAATTATTTAATTAAAACCTGATTAAACTGAAACCAACATCATTTTATGTATGCTTGTGGAAGAGTGGAGAGTGATCAACCTGGAGAATGATCAACAAAAAGAGTCAACAATCAAATGACCTACTGGTTGAACACGTGATCGATCAACCACGTGATCGATATCACCTCCAAATCCCTTAATATTCAATTTGACCCCATTAAATTTCCCGATATCATTCAAGGTCCACCTTAAACTATACTGATCCTCTGATATATTACGTTTTACCTTTTCAGCGCCGCAGACAAACATCTTTGGAATTTAAGAATGCCATAAAGTTAGAAATACTTCGTTTTCTTATGATGCGAATATAGGACCAATATAATAACTAGAGATTGGATATAGGAACCGAACCGAAGAATTGTGAACTCATTATTTTTTGTCAGCATATAAAGCGACATCCAAAAATAATCACAACGCAACGTACCCGAGGACAGTTAATCCCAAAAATATTTTAATTTAAAAACGAAAAAATGTAATAGAGTATATGAATGTAAGGCTAACTTAAAAATTAAATAAAATTATGATTAACAATACATACAACCGCACGATCAATTTATTTTATTTTTGAATAATATAATTAGTGATCAGTTAATTAATGCTCAGAATTCTCGGTCTCGAGAACCACTTTGAAATGTTAAGCATTTTAAGAGAAATAAATATTTGCTTAAGTCTTGCTTAGCATCCAAAAAATATAAAGAGAGAGCAAGGAGCAATCGCTTTATATCCTAAACAATTCAAAAATCTTAATCAAATTTTATTCAAAATAAAATATATTTTAAAAAAATATGTCATAGATGCCAGAGCTAATTATAATTATTGTAGCGTGTCAACCTTTGGTTGTAACTTAATTTCAAGAATTAAATAAAATTTTCCACATCTTTCGATGTCTTTATTACCCACTAAATATGGATATCAGAGAATTTAGAAAGATTAAGGAGGATATCAGAGGCTCTATAATCACTGAATAACTCTACTGATTCAACACAGCCCAATCTGCCCCTTGCAAGTGCCTACAGAGTAAAAACAAATGAGATCTATTAATATAATTAAATTTCCCATCAATTTCCTAAATTTTTCCGATTTTCGAAGATTTTTCTTTTTCGAAACATCACAATTACCCGCACACTGAAATTTTTAGTATTACAAACTACATAATAAATGTTATTTTAATTTTAATTTGTAAAAAGTTCAAATAAACTCGTAGTGAATTGCTCAAGTTGTCCATAATTCTAATATTTTTGTAAGTTGGATAGTCCAACTAAAAATTTTACTTTACAGTAAGTGTAAAGTTGTGAGTCAGAGGTTTCCCTGGAATTAGGATTTATCAATTCCAAAGTGGATCTGGATTTGTGAGATTCAAAAAGCTGATTTGAATAGGCACGGTTTAAATAGTCCTATTAAGGCTAAAGGTCTTTTCCGTTAGTATCAGACTTACTTCAAGTCCATATTTAACACATAATCATAAATTTATGTTGAGGTTTCAAGTTCAAACAATTCAAATTCAAGGAATTGAGACGTTATTTAATACTAACGCAAACAAAAAAAGTATTAATTAAAACTAAAGATTACAAATTTTATAATAATTATTTAAATGACATCGCGTCCATGGGGATCTAATATTTTTGCACAGTGTCCTTACCAAACTTATATGAAATTATTAATACCATCAGAATATGGAAAACTTTTAAATTTATTTTTTGCCAACATTCATGTGGCAACCAAAAAATATAGTTATTAAAATTTCAAAACTTTTCTAAACATTTAGCAAAACATTTAAATATAAAAAAATTAATGTAATATACTATAATGAGTACATAAAAATACATCAAATAAACCAAAATATTTCATCTCGGACTTGTTACGCAAGGAGAAAGATAAGGGATATGAAAACACGGACACCGAATTTGTGAATTCATTATTCTTTTTTGTCTGCAGATAATGCGACATCCAAAAATACTAACAACACGCCCCAACCGAAAGACAGTTAATCCTACAATTTTTTAAATTTAAAAACGAAAAATTGTAATAAGCTATATGGCAGGGATTCTATCTCGAATTTTTTTGATCTAAAAAACCACAAAAAATTATCAAACACAAAATTTCACAAAATTTTCGAGCCAACGCTTTCACCGTCTCTACATTTGGTCTACAATCTACAAAAATTTGAGGATACTTTTGTGGCATAAGAGAGAAGGAGACAACTAATTTTTAAAATAAGACTTGTTTCAATTAAAGCTCTATTACTCGTCTCGGTTTCGGAACTAATTCTCGTTTTCTTAATTACGAGCGTTAGGACGCGCTTCGCGCGTCCTAACGCTCGTACAACACCTTGTAATTCACCTTAGATCAGCCTCACACTTTGACGGACTCAAATCCCCAACTTCTCACTTGTTATGGACTCTTCTCATCAAATGTGGGAAGAGTCTCTTGCTCAAGCTTTAATCAACTCCCCCACCTCCCAAACGCGCTAAATCATTTTTACTATCACGCTTTATCTGCTATACCCTTAATCTCTCCCAAATCCTCCGATTCACTAATCCCCTCAAATCACAAAATATGTTTGTTAATTACCTCTCCGATACCGCTATTTACACAAATTTCACTTTTCAAACTTTGTTTTCATAGAAAATACCCTTTTTCCCATCAAAACATTTGATATCACCCTTTATCCTGAAACACCTAATATCCCTGAGACAAAAAGTACGTTATCCCTCTTAATCCTATGTTATTCTTCTTAATCCCCTATTATCTGAAAACGCATTTTATTCTCCAAAATACAAATATCGCCCATTATCCTCCCAAAACACCCAAAACTCTATTTCCAAACTCATGTATATCACCATTAACACTTGATCCATCTTATTCATATTAAATCCCCCTATATCACTCATTATTTTTCACGACACAAATATCTCTTTTTATTTTTAAAAATCCCAGATATCACCCTTTATCTCCCATAAACTACTCTATATCACTTTTAGTCTCCCAAATCCTTCTATATCACCTTTAAACCCGTAAATCCGCGATATCCCACCTATTTGTCCCAAATCCACCTATATTACTCAACATATCCCCAACTACCAATTTTTATCCCTAATTCAACGATATCTTCCTAAATTCTTTGATATACACGTAACCATAAATACCCTTTAATCTTAAAATCATATAAGATTAAAGATATCCTTTAATATATTTTTATTTTGAATATTATTTTTGAATATTATTCCTCGAAATCCTTCCAGTTAAACTAATCTAACTCTCAGATGTAATTTGTCCAAA